AATATTCATTAAATTCATTAACATTCATTTAATTTCATCAACTAAAAATACATTACATTCCCAGAAATCATTCAATTTGTATGGGATTTTTTCAAACCAGTAAAATAAAAGAAACATAAAAACGGGTTGCATTTTTTTCTTGTACATAAAAATATGAGCATATAAAGTTTTTCTTACGTAGGCATTCCCCGATTGTTCCGAGAACACTATGCGTTGTACAAATAACAAAATATGGAACGGATTTAAATTTATAAATATGGTTTGTCACCATCAAATTTAATTAAATGGCAGGTGTTAATTTGTCTTACTTATTCAAATATCCTTGTTATTAACATTTCCCATAATATTGAGTCAATGTACTGATTTTGTCGATAATTCTCTTTTATTTGGTTTAATAGTATCTCAAATTACTTCTAGATAAATTGCGCAATAACATAATCCTTAGTATCTTTAATTTATATCGTTTAAATTAGTGGCTCTGGAATAATATTCAAGAAATAGCAACAAATAAAGTAAAAAGAAGAAGTTAATTCTAATTAATATCTTATTTGAACAGTGAGTTACAATATAAATAAAAAAATGGCGGTCAAAAATGATCATTAGACATATGCACATCAAATGATCAGATATTTTATAGAGATTTTAACAATAAGTATAAATTTTGTTTGTTATTGAAAGTTAAATTAATTTAAGCTATAATTAATATCAGACACTCTAAGCAGAACAAATTAAAAGACATTATTTGATAAAAATTTTAACACAAAGAACGACTATTTCTGTAAAATATTGTAATGAAATTGTAAATCTTATTAACTTCCCGTAGGGTAATTAACTTCCAGTAGGGTAAGTTATAGTAATCGCAAAAAAATCGAAAATGAAAATTTTTATATATCTTTACATTTCAGAGGTTTCTGAATATTTGGGCATACCTTAGAAAAAATGGATGTATGTGTGTGTGTATGCGTGTGTGTATATGTGTGCGGATACAAATTTTCGTCGACGATTTCGGGAACACAGATGAAGCGATTTGAATAATTCAAAAAACATTCGATTCGTATTGATAAGGAGACGTGCTGATTATTTTTTGGCGAAGGCAGGTCTAGTCGTTCCGAAGATATGAGGTAAAAAGTGCCAAAAACGGTAACTCAGTTTTTAATATAAGTAACTAAGTTTTTTTTTTAATTTTCATGAAGGCAGGTCTAGCGGTTTCGGAGATCTAGTAAAAAAAAGTAAAAAAAAATGACATCGGGCGGTCAAAAATGATCATTAGACATATGCACATCAAATGATCAGATATTTTATAGAGATTTTAACAATAAGTATAAATTTTGTTTACATTCTTATGGGTCCCGTACCAATGCTTATCCGTTAGACGCTTACACGCTTCGATATTTCATCTCTATGCAGTTAAAGCAGTACGATTGCTTTGAAAAATAGTTCAGAATTTCCCAAATATTTCAAAATACATTTTTCTTCAAAAAGCCTTTTTTCAAAAAAAGTAAATTTTAGTCAAAAATTTAGAGTTTCTCAAAAATCTAATTTTTCAGAGTAAATTTTTTTCAAAAATGTTAATCTTAAAAAAAAAAAAATTGGTACGGGAAGTTCCAGCAATTTGCCTTAAGGCACGATGCCATGCGCTCCACTAGTTAACTTCTACAATCAAAGCTGGCTTTAGTACATTTACCACATAAAAAATTATGCAAATGACAAAAGTTTTTCTAAAAAATATATTAGACACTCTATATAGAACATATAGGAACCCATTATTTGAAAAACAATTAATATGAAGAACAGCTATTTCTGTAAATTATTTGTAATAAAAGTATTATATTGAAATCGTAAGCTTAACAATAAACGCTAATAAAATATCATAAGATCATGCGAAATAGTTATTTTTAATTAAAAACGCTGTATTTTAAAAATATTCATAATATAAAAATATCACACCAAATGTATATACAATCGAATGCATTACAAAAATATAAGTTCGGAGTACAAAATGAATTATGTTAAAATTATGTTAGATTAGGATTCAAGTAAAAAATTTGTGGAAAGTAGCTATAAAACTAGGTCAAGGTTTTTGCTCCTCGGACATCCTTTATGATTGCCAAAAAAATCAATTAAATTTTATTTACAATTAACGTTTCGCATATTGTGATCATGACTTCTAATATTCATCGGAATTACATCTTTCTCTTCTCCACGTAAATAATTTTTTAAGTAAAACGATAACTCGCCAATCTAGAAACGAACCACTCCTTTTCCGCCTAACGCATCCTGCAGCAGCGTTTCGCCTGGTAATGCAACATTGCCGGGATAATGTGTGAGGATAACAGGTCTTGGATCGGTGGAGACAGGAGCAGTATTTACAGTTTACGATATCTAACGTTGCTGAAGCAGATGACGGTGCCGAAGAGCCGAAAGTATCATTATTTTTTTTTAATATTGCTGATAATTTCAAAGCCGAACATGGAGAGACGTGCATAATCTGAATTAGAAATAGATTTATATATAAACTTGCAATTTAAATAGCTCATTGTAAAAGATTTTACAATTATTTAGATTCTGGCACTTCTTCATGACGTGTATATCTGTCAATGAAGAAGTGGCCACTTTAAACATTAAAGGGGGAGCCTGCTTCAAAAATCGTAGGAATTTTTACGGAAGAAAACAAATATTTGATTGAAACGAAACTTTCGGGATTTATTATTATATATTTCAACATTCTTCTCTATTTTTTCATTAAAATATATGACATAATAAGCCAGGTATAAGCATTTTGCCGATGCGCCACGAGCGTGCAGGTGTCATTTGGCAAGAAAAATTCAGGTCACAATTTCCATCCGAAACAAAAAAAATCAAAACAAACATAAATTTTCAATAGTATAGATTCTAGTTGAATCTAAAAAATCCAGAAAAAAATGATAAATTAACCAATTTTTCGCTTGAAAAAAAAAATCATGTTTTTTGATACAAAATTTTACTTTAGATTGTTTAAAAAGTGAGTTAATTATAACTTTTTTTAAGGTTTTTTAGGTTCATCTAGAATAGAATTTACGCCTAAATATAAATACATTGAATTTTGTCTCGTTTTAATAGGTTGTTTAGCTTTTTTGCTTATCTTTCCCGCCAATTAGAAAAAATCGAAAAAATTCAGAACCGAGAAATCGCGCGTCGAAGTTTTCGTTTCGCTAATTCCGAATTATTCCGAAAATAATTTAAATTTGTTTCTGAAATTTTAGGGATATATTCTTGCCTAGTTTTGGAAGACATTTTTGCAATAAAAAAATCGATTTTTTTAAGCCTCTAAAGCAGTCTCCCCCCTTAACCAATTTGGTCATTTTATGTTTTCTCGTCTTTTCAAATCATTCTGAACCGTTTGAAACTAAAATTAGAAAAGGCATTTGCGGGAGTATGTGAGACAACTCAACCTTTCGTCGATGGTTGATCAAAAATTGGCAGCACCAATTTCAAAAATTTGACGACATTCGAAAAAGACACGCGTTAATAAGTTTTACGCGACAATCGGCCAAGCCGTTTCTTTTCAATTAGCAAATAAGTGCAAAATTTTAACCTGTTTTTCAAATGCTTAAAATAAAATCAACCTTATTCTCATCAATATTTATCCTTCGCCTGTGACTGCCATAGCTGACAACCCCTATCACAGTACAGGCGTCCCACCAGGCACCGTTGTACGAAAGAGCTTTTCTGCACGCTTCTATTGACGTATACTGAATGTCCAGAAAATTCCCACAAGCAATACCTTGACCACCAGTTGTTACTGCATCATTCACCTTCATTCATACATAATTTCATCAATATATCACACATTTTACGAAAAGCATTAGCATATAAGTATATATCTGCATTTTCTAGAGTCCTATATTATCAAGTGTTATCCTCTTAGCTAAATATGATATTAATCATTAAAATTTGAAAAATCAGCGAAATTAGGTAGAATTTATAAGTTGTAAAACTTGAGATAAGCATTCATCCATTATTTCATAAAACCTAATAAGTACGTACTTCAGCAAAAGAAGATCATTTAATATTAAGTTTTATCAAATGAAATTCACCTCTCCAATACTACTAAAAAAATTCAAAACAGCTTGAAGTTTATTCGGCTGGAAGCCAAAAACTGTAATCCATAATGGTTGTGGACATTGATGTTCTATTGTACTATTACAGTCAAGGCAGCATCTAATTAAATATGTTTCTAACAATTTAAGTTATAAAAATATTAAAATAAAATTCGTATAATGAATGTTAATTCAAATACAAATATAAGAGTTTGCATGCTTTTTGCATATGCATTTTAGAATTAGAAAGTTCATACCGCGTATCTTCCATATTTTGATTCACCGCATAATTCATTTGTAAACTCCATGGACTTTTATAGCAATTGAGCAACAGTTTTGGACATTGCTCGACCTTTATAGGATCACTCGGACTAGGCTCAATTTTTGGATTTGCGCGTAATTTGTCTGCTGTAGATCTTAATGATCCAGGAAAATCGTCAAAAAGATCGATTATAGGAGGTCCATTAGGCGGTTTTGTTGGTTTGCATTCGTTTGATACTAGACTATTAAATGGCAATTCCGATGTATCTGGCCGCGTAAGAAAAAATTCGGGAAGAAATTCAAAACTCATAATTTTGTACTAGAATTTTGCTGCAAATGTAAATATTATCCATTATACAAACAAAACTCATGCCAATTAAAAATATTTCCTAACATTAGATTTAAATCAAATAAATGTTTGCACATATAATTCATTAACTTTTTTAGAATATAGTAAAGAGAGGTGTTATGATAAGATTGCAAACACATCCCAATTAAGATATTATTATCACCATTTAATAAATTCTCCAATCATATAACTTTGTGCATAAATTGTACTAAAACCATTCATATTAACAAATGCAATCATTATTTAATAACAATACTTTATTTTATAAAAAATAATGCAATACTTGAGTTACATTTTATTTAATAGTCAGTTCACTTTTTATAGTTATAAAAACCTTCCCCAGATTTAACCCCTAATTTTCCTTCTTTAACCATTTTAGAAAGCACCGAAGGAGGATTGAACAAGGTGTTGTCAGGATACTTCTTATGCCAACCATCAATTATGAAATATGTAGTGTCCAAACCCACATAATCAGCTAATTCTAAGGGACCCATAGGATAGCCAGCTCCAAGCTTCATAGCTATATCAATATCTTTTGCAGATGCATCACCTTCAAGGAATTAATTAATTCAGTATAAACAATATAATATTTTATCAGTTATATTATACCTCTTTCAAACATTTTTACAGCTTCGCTCATGTAAGGCACTAATAAACGATTGACAACAAATCCTGGTGTATCTTTACATGTAATGCAAGTTTTGCCCATAGCTTTACCCCAATCCATCATCTTGGTATAAGTTTCATCAGATGTTTCATTTGTGCGCACAACTTCTAATAATTTCATAACAGGAACGGGATTAAAAAAATGCAATCCACCAAACTTATCCTTTCTTCCTGTAATAGATGCTATCTCCGTAATTGACAAAGATGAAGTATTGCTTGCTAAAATCGTATGTGAAGGGGCAGCCTAAATGCAAACCAATAAATGAAATGGTACAAATTCAAAAATAGAAAATTAAGTATAGTATAGTGTTACAAATACTAAATTTACCTTGTCCACCTCAGCAAATAGCTTATGTTTAATTTCTATGTTTTCAACAATGGCCTCAACTACTAAATCAGCATTGCTAACAGCAGCTTTCACATCAGTGGAGCCCTTTAATTTCTCTAGAGATTCAGAAATGAATTTTTCACTGGCCTCTTTATCATCTTTGTACAATTTTTTAGCTACACGAGATAAGTTATTTTTGATACTTGTTTGAGCCTTTGCAAGTACATCAGCATTCACTTCGACTAATGTTACATTATGTCCAGTTTGGGCAGCAACCTAATTGTTAGTTTTAATTCTTATAATGAAATTTACATTATAATCATACTTGATTAAAGCAAAACTTACTTGAGCAATTCCAGATCCCATAAGACCACCTCCAATTATTGTCACATTATTTATCACATTTCTAACAGAACTTGTGGCAAATCCTCTTTTAATCAAGGAAACGGTATGGGCCATTTTTATATTATAAGCGAAAATATTCTATACGTCTTGAAAGAAAACAATAACACCGAAATATATTGTAGTCCGAAGTCCAAATCATTAACTTCTTATCGTTGTTTGCATTTGGACTTATTTACAGTCGAGACACAACACAAAGAAATAAAAAATATAAAACTATTCTCCAAACGTCATTCATTACATTTGACATGCGCACAATTTCTAATATGGTTGAATATAATTTTATAGAAAATGCTCAAAAACACAGACAATTGAAATAAAATAAAATTACTTATATAATAAAAGACTTACATTTTAAGAAACTTCCAAATGTTAGCAAATCATCACAACACTTTCTTTTATTGTGTATTTTACAATATAATTTAAATCAAAATGCATATAAGAACCTAAAATTTTCACAGTGCTGCCACCAATATAAAAACTAATGATTTTGTTTTAATTTTTGGTAATACACGTTTTGCGTCTAACCTCACTCTAATCAATTGAATGCAAAGCGCATCTCTTCCATTCTCTGCCTTTTCTATGGTTGACGTCTGAATTTTTGGATATCCGTTTCTTTCTCATTCGGAATAAAGTCGAAATGGTAGTGTATAGTTTGCATTAGTAAATTTATCAAACTTTCTATGTAATTATGAATGTGTTATTAATAAATATTAATTAAGAGTCGTCTGAAGTAAAGTTTTCACGAACCATGTGTTCGATGGATAACCTAAATTTGTTTGTGAAGTTTGGGTTTACAAATAAGAAGCTCTTATTTTTGTTCTAATTCCCTGACGACAATGCAAGTATTCTTTAGCTGCTATGTAAGTTAGTTAATTTATAATTTATTTTGCAGACCTGCAAACGTCGTAATGGTGGACGTGCTAAGCACGGTCGGGGACATGTGAACCCTGTAAGATGCACAAATTGTGCTCGATGTGTCCCTAAAGACAAGGCTATCAAGAAGTTCGTCATTAGGAACATCGTCGAAGCAGCTGCTGTACGTGATATCACGGAGGCTTCTGTTTATTCCGGTATGTATATTGTTCATATTTTTGTAAACATTTATGCTCTTTATGTTCTCGTAACTCATTGGCTGTTTTATTCCAGCTTACGTCTTACCTAAGTTGTACGCTAAGTTACACTACTGCGTTTCCTGCGCTATTCACTCTAAGGTAGTTCGCAATCGCTCTAAGGAAGATCGTCGCATTAGGACTCCACCAGTGAGATCATTCCCAAGAGATAATCAAAGGCAACAAAATGCTCCAAGAAAGTAAATGTTCATATTTTAAATAAAAAAAACGACAACTTAATCTTTGTGTTTCATTTATGTTTTAGCAAATTTTACAGATACAGTTATATTGCTAAGTGTAGCATTTAAACTAAATGCAATAAAATGTTGCTTTCTGATACAAATTAATAAGCTGTAAAATAAAATTAGTTTTGTCTTTACAAATAGTAGAAGTATTAAAATCAAGACCACAGTCATTAAAACAATTATTTTCTAAATAAGTTAAAGCAATTTTAATTTTCTAAATGTGGACTAAATTGAAATTTCCTGGAGCCTTATTTCCTTATTAATTAAAAGAAATCATTTGGAACACTTGAATACATATTAGTTTTATAATATGCATAAAATTTTAAAGACCCCGTAAAAGTCATTTGTAGTAAGATCATTCAAATATAAAAATTATGTAGTCTTTTTCACTTTTAGAACTGATTTCAAATATTTATTTTCATTGTTGATGTACACATAGTCATTAACATATTACAAAATAAAACTGGGAAATAGATGATAAACTACAGAATCTTTGTTACATTTTTAATCCTATTAACTAATGACTCAACATAGTGTTCAGTCATCTTGCTCCATTGCAGCTCGTAAATTCTTCTCAAAAATTTTCTTTGAATCACAAAATCCTTGTTTTGTTTTTCCAAATGAATTTGGCCCAGCAGAAGTAGGTGTTTCCCTATAAACAAAGAGTTAATAATATTAGGATCCCATAAACCAATTAAAATATTTTGTATTACCTTCCAATATTTCTCATGCGCATTCTAGCTTCAGAAGGCATTTCTTCTTCTTCTTCGTCACTATCTTGATTGAATACAGATGCAACTGTTCCAACTGGTTTTGCTATTGCCGGTACAGTAGGTTTTGGCCCCAATTTAAAACTACTCAATGCTTTTTGGGCAGGTGGCTGCAAGTGTTATTATATAAACATATATTATTAACAAACTAACAACAAATACCATGAGCAAAAATTAAATGAACTAGATTTATGTACCTTTATAGTCATGGAAACCTTTGTTATTCTTGGTGGTGGTGGTGGAGGCGGAATATTTGTTTTAGTTTTTTGATCTGAATAAAATTTAGTAATTCAATTATACACTTTTGTATGTAACATATTACAAAAACAATTATATACATAGAAATATTAAAAGATTACTAAATGCATTAAAATATAAATACATATTCCACATTGTTCATGGGTTCACCTTCATCTGTACTATCAGAAGAGTCTGAATATCGTCTTCTTCTACCTTTCTTGTCCGAGTCCTCATAATGCCTATTATAAATAATTTGTTTTATTATAAAATAAACATTTTCTAAAAGCACTATAAAATAAATTTATATCATTCGTTAAAAGGACTTTATAAGTTGCAGACAATATTAACTAAAAATAATTGTATCTTAAGTTCTGTTTTAATTTAACTTCATACAACAAAGCTAAAATACATACTTTAGATCAGAATCTTATATCACATTATAAAAAAAAGAATAAACTTGAATTAATAAGTACAATATAAGATACATTTGAACATACCTTTCTCTTACATCCTTTCGTCTGTCTGAATCTTGATCTCGACTGCGGCTGTAGTGGCTGCTTTGATATTTGTCAGATGATCTTTCTTTGCTTCTATCTCTATATTCATGATGTGAATCTTCTCTCGAAGGAGACCTAGACCTGTGACTCCTGTAATCTCTGCTGCTACCGCTAGATGATCCTAACAATGTGAAACACTGGCAAAATTAAAAACAATGTTAAGCGAAAGCGAAGATATTCACGAGCGTGCAAGTAACTTCGCCCACACCGACATTTTATGATTGTGGAAAGTGCTGAGTATAAAAAACATAGGTCTCCTTAGAAGAATGAGCAAATCACAACCTTAGAAGTAACTTCGAACGACCTTTCGAAGTTTTTGTATGATGTTTTTTTAATTTTACTTAATATCCCTGCTATAACTGTCAATTATAATTATTATTTATTAATGCAATATACAGTCAACATAATATAAAACTCAAAACAAATAAAAACGAAAAAGATATGAAATTATTGACATTCGAAAATAAAGCAAACAAATTTGCATGTCCTACATAGAACGAAAAATTATATGTTCTTACCTTTTGAGTAGTATTCCGTCTCTCGTCTACGACTCATTGTAGCACCTTTATCAACACTTTTATTATTTAGAGCAATTTAAAAATCACAATTTCATTCGACTTTCGTTTTCCATTAATGACAATTGACAACATTGAACATAGCAGACAATATATTTACAGTGTTGCCAACATAAAAATGATTGATTTTAAACTCTTTCAAAAACTGCGGCATCAGTTTCCAGTTTGAGTTGATCCTTAGTTGATGTTCTTAGTAAATAGATAAATAACCATAAATGTTACTATACAATATGATAATTTGTTAATAAGCAGAGAATGTGGATATATAAATATGGATAATGTTATAAGGAGGCGAAAAAGTAGGTAAACAAATATTTATTTTTTGATTGCTATATTTACCTATACAAAGTGTCTCCTCAATGTGTCTTTTTATATTCATTCATGAAAAATAAAGTACGTATATGCAATTATACAAACTGCTTTGTTTCATTCGGTTTCATTTTTTATCTCAAAAAATAAATTTTACTAAAATTCTGCAAAAATTATACAAATAAATAAATTATAATCAATTTCAAAACGAACACAACACTGTAAAAAAAGATAATTTTATTCCATAGCAAATAATTAAAGTAAATTTTAAGTTGGATGAAGATTTTATTCATATTCTAACATATTTATAAAAATATTTATTCTAAAAATATAATAATACTTTTATACATTGTGCAGCAGTTCATTATAACCGTACACATGTGAAGTCTTCTGAAACCATGAAATATTCTGTATATTTACAAAAATTTTCAATAATGTTATAATTGAAATCTTTTCACTAATGAGAAATCTCTCGTTCTGAAGATTAAAGTAAATCTTTGTTTATTTTTATCCTTTCATTAAATAAACAATTAGTTTTAATATACATTCAAAATTTGTTAATAAATATGTTTTTCTATAAATATTATCAGTCAATGTAAATATATCACTAACCATGAAACATTTCTATACAATAGCTATTTGAGTTATTATAGAAATATACTTACATGTTAAGACAAGTTAATTTACATAAATACTTAGATGTTAATTCATATAATAGAACAAATACTGTACGATTGTTTATATTACATATATATATATATATATATATATATATATATATATATAATTAATAAATATAAATATTATTTATATTAAAATAAGTAGTATATTTAAGTTTTTTTAAATAGAAATAAAAAGTAAATACTAGTCAATTTTTTGCTAATCAAAATCAATTTGAATGTGGTAGCAGTTACTTCTGAATAAATTGCAAAATATTAAAAATTGTATTTATAAGATGTCTAGAATTCTTTCAAAACTATATTTAATGATATATAGTTTTCATTAGAACGATATTTAAAAATAAAATAATTTATTGCACAATATAATCTTGTACCCTCTCATGCTCTTCAATTGCTTTTTTAATTGTTTTATTAAATCTAATGGCTGTACAAGAATAGAAATGTTTCCCAACAGATTTAATCTATCTCTTACCTCATTTTCCTTAAAAAATAAATTTAGTGGTCTGGCATTAATTTCTGTGAGAACCCAGCTCGTTAATGATAAACAATCAAACCCTGGTTGTGCCCTAGGTGGTAACCGTGTCTGGCTGCTAAACTATTTGGTACAATGTCTACAATTGTGGCTGTATTGCTATCTTGAATTATCCCAGACATTGCCCTTCAGTTTCTTTTCGAATAGCATAAACTCGGCCAATGGTATTCTTCTCTCACAATAAATTCTACCATAAATATATAATTCAAAAATAGTTGTGAGTAAAATATACATAAAGTATGAAATCCACTTTCAGTTTTTACAATAGCTATTTGAGTTATTATAGAAATATACTTACATGTTAAGACAAGTTAATTTACATAAATACTTAGATGTTAATTCATATAATAGAACAAATACTGTACGATTGTTTATATTATATATATATATATATATATATATATATATAATTAATAAATATAAATATTATTTATATTAAAATAAGTAGTATATTTAAGTTTTTTTAAATAGAAATAAAAAGTAAATACTAGTCAATTTTTTGCTAATCAAAATCAATTTGAATGTGGTAGCAGTTACTTCTGAATATATTGCAAAATATTAAAAATTTGTTATAAGATGTCTAGAATTCTTTCAAAACTATATTTAATGATATATAGTTTTCATAGAACGATATTTTAAAATAAAATAATTTATTGCACAATATAATCCTTGTACCCTCTCATGCTCTTCAATTGCTTTTTTAATTGTTTTATTAAATCTAATGGCTGTACAAGAATAGAAATGTCTTTCCCAACAGCATTTAATCTATCTCTTACCTCATTTTCCTTAAAAAATAAATTTAGTGGTCTGGCATTAATTTCTGTGAGAACCCAGCTCGTTAATGATAAACCATCACAAGTTTGTGCCCTAGGTGGTACACCGTGTCTGGCTGCTAAACTATTTGGTACAATGTCTACAATTGTGGCTGTATTGCTATCTTGAATTATCCCCAGACATTGCCCTTCAGTTTCTTTTCGAATAGCATAAACTCGGCCAAATGGTATTCTTCTCACAATAAATTCTACCTAAATATATAATTCAAAAATAGTTGTGAGTAAAATATACATAAAGTATGAAATCCACTTTCAGTTTTTATCAAGTTATAAAGTGTACAAGTGATAAAATATGTTATAAGCTAAATCACAATAATATTTTCCTTACATATTGACCATGGTAGCTTCGAATAATTTTAGCAACATCATTTGAACATTTTATTGGTACTCCACAAATACTCATTAAATGATCCCCAATATGCAATGCGTTATATAACATTGGATGCTGCTTTTGTTTCCATCCGGCTATCCTAAAAATTATACCAAAAATATGGATTAAAAAAAAATTATATATCAATTTATAAGCAAAACACTAACCATACAAGCCCAAAAGCATCAACTAGAGCAATACTTCCCAAACAGTCTTTTCTCCTCAGCGTGAGTCGTACACCACCTGGATGATTCATTTCTTGTCGAAGCTGTAGCACCTGCTGTTCTCTTAATGTTAATTTACGAATATTGTTAAGAGTGCTAGAGTCACCAGTATTCGTATGAGCCATAGAATTGCTAATTACTTCTGTTGATCAAATTATTAATTATTTAACAAAAACAATAATAAAAAAGACCATTTAACTATACATCTTGAAATATTAAAGATACTTCTGTGGGATAAAAAATTTTTTGCCAATATATATTTATTACCATGAGCATTTCTTTCTGAAGTCTCATTTTGTGTAGCCTCTGAACTTGACAAACTTCGTCGTCTCTTTTCTCCATTATTTTGTGTGTTTCTGTTTGCACCAGATTGTAGTCTATTGTTTATTAAATTGTTATGAGGCAAATTATTATTAGAAATCATATGTGGTCTTGATTTTATTTGTAATTCTGTCACACCTCTCATTAATATGTGTTTAATAGGTGCAGTGGCAGATGATTCATCTCTTTTTGATGATGTAGAAGGCATTGGTTTAATATCAAAATGTGTTGTAGATGAGGCATTTATGTTTGTATTGCAACTTGCTATTTCATTTTCATTTAAAGGGCTCTGAATGTTGGAATGTATTCTTTCTCTATTGATATGTAATTCACTATGACTAACAGATCTTTGCTGTTTACTTAGAAGAGAAAACTTTGGTGATTTGGGTGGAATTCGAGTTACAATGTTAACCGGAACATTGGTTATAGAATTTGATGTACTAGGTAAAAATATTTGTTCATAATACTCATGATTTATATTATTACTAATTATTTTAGTTCTATTTTCAGTATTGATTATTTGACTTGGACCTAATTTATTAGTACTAATACCAAAATTACTTTTAATGTGACTAGAGTTCAATACATTTATCTCAGATCTATTTTGGACGGGTTCAGACTGAATATCATTTTTGATTTCACTTGTATTATTATGAAGTAATAAGACATTATCGTTACTTTTGTATGAGTTTTTTGTGACAAATAAGTTTTGTAATGAATCTACATTTGATGAGGAATTTGAATCATATTGATTTTGATCGCTATTATTTGGCCCAATATTTGAAACTTGAATTATAGTAATATTTGAATTTCCTATATTTTGAGGATCATTAGAAATATCTTTCCCACTGCATGCTTCTTGATGTAATTTCATAGAATAACCATTTTCAGGATTCCTAAATCTATACAAATACCAATTATTTAAAATTAATGCAAAGCATACTTTATTGTATAAATAACTTACCCATTTCTTTTAACTGGATTTGTAACAAACAGTGATGTAATATTTGTGTTATTAATTGTATCTTTATCTGGTTGTAAATCAACATTCTTAACTAGACTAGATTCTTGTACATTGTCCAACTTTAACTGTACTTCAGTATCGTCCAGTGTGTCAACAGCAACTAAAGAATTGCAACCGGCAGAGAAAGAAACTGCATGTGGGTTAGATGTATCTAAGATAGTCACATTGGAAATATCGATGTCATCAATATGGTTGTCTAATTTAACTGAGACAGAATCATTTATAGGTTCTGAATCAATTTCAATTGAAATTACTGGCTCAAGATGTTCATTGTGAATTATATTTTTATCTGAAGTAGATTCTTTACTATCTGAGTTGTCAGTTGGAAGTATTGTATCACTTGAGCACTCAGGCAAAACAGCTTGTGAGCAGACCTCAGATCGTGCATTTTCAAGGGAAAAGTCATCATAAGTAAAAACATTATCAGAATTATGATTATTAACATGATTTGTGGCATTATTCAATCCAGTAGGCACTGGCTCTACTCCAGGTACTAAAATGGCAGGAACTGGTGGAGGGGCTGGCAATGGTGATGTTGGATCTCTAGTAGGCAATAATATTGGTTTAATTTCTGGCATTTTGCTATACATGTTTTCATTTGGAGATAATATACGCATCTCGCGCAATTTTGAACGTAGAACTTCAACCCAATCATGCATTGATTCCCTGAATTCAAAAAAATTTAATTGAACAAATATTTGAAAAAAACAAAAGTAAAATTAAAAAAAAAAGGAAAGTATGTAAAGAAAGTATGTTAAAATAAGTTAATTACCATGTGGGAGCAGTGAGGCGTATAACTTCATGATTGAGGGTAATAACAAATTCATATTCACTTTGACGAGGACAAATTGTTGGTGAAATGTGAAGAGTATTATTTAAGCACACAAACCAATCTGGCGAGTGGCAAGCAGCAACTTTTGAGTTTGAATAGCCCTCCAAAAAAGCCTCACTATCATCATGCACACAGAAAACTATCCATACTCGATCACCTTTCTAAATAAATATGTAAAAACATTTATTTAAAGTTTTAAGTCAAACTACAAAACATTAATTGGAGGGGAAGAATAATTTTGTTCCTAAAGCCAATGATAATAAAGATTACCAATAACATCTAAATAAATTTTGAAAATCTAAATTTAATTAAAGTAACTATAAAGTGCTCTTTTTTAAATTTTTAACACCCTAATGACAATAGTAATTTAAAATAGATATTATATTTAACATACTTTAGCAACAACACCGGTTCTTTTACTTTCAGGTGGCAAACGTTTCAACCAAGCATTTTTGTGAATTTCTCGAAATAGGGCTCCGCTCATAACGGGCTCTGTCATCCGGGGCTCGCCCATTTTTAATACAAATGCGCATTAGGATGGACGAGAGATCTAAAATAATACAAAATTAAATAATAAATATTAGAAAGTAAAATATGTTCATTCAGTCGCAAAGTTCCTTATTTACCAGCTGTCATATCCTGTTAACATTTTCCTTTAATAAATTTATTAAATGTAGATCAACATAATTAGACAAAACTTTGCTAAATTTAAAAACAGAGAAACATAAAATATTAATTATTTTTGAATTTAAAAATTATAAAATTATATACATAATAATAAAAGTTTACACACGACGCCATTCTTATTTTGAAAGAATTCTTTCATAGCGTGACGTTTAACGCAGACAGTTTAATATTGCTTGTCACATAGTGCAAATGTCAAAAACATGTGTTCCCTAAATTAAAGTTACAATTATTTACTATATTTATAAACATAAAGAGATTATTCATAAAAAATATTATAGAAAATATTCATTTCATTCCATAAAAATTACAGTGTTCAAATTATACAAAATTAGAAGTTAAAAGACTAGCAAGTTCGTCTCTAGTAAGGGTGAGTTTGACCATAGTTCTTTAATTAATTGCAAAACAATAAATAATAAATAAGCTTGTTAGCTTGGAAAATATTTAATTAAAGAATTTGTAACTTTTACTTTGTTATGCATTATTTTGTAAACATAACCTTACATTAATTTTGTTTGTCACTTTAGTGCTTTTGGCTAAATATTACATATTTGTGTACCTTTATTTTTACAAAAATCACAAAAAACTAGTGGGGTGCATGGCATCGTGCCTTAAGGCAATTGCTGGAACTTCCCGTATCGTAATTAAAAATCTTGGTACGGAACCCAAAAAAATTACACAAAATGTGTACACATTATTATAACCTCTATAAAATATCTGATAATTTGGTGTACATATGTCCAATAAACATTTTGGACCGCCAAATGACTTTTTTTTAACTTATTTTTATTGAGAGTCCATAACCGCTAGACCTGCCTTCCCAAAAATTTGAACTTCTTCATCTTGTCAATACAAGTAAAATATTTTTTGAATTATTAAAATCCGACTCTCCGTTCTCTTAAAACCTGAGGTACCGTTTTTGGAACTTTTTGCCCCTATCTTCGGAACCGCTAGACCTGCCTTTGCCAAAAACTAATCAGCACGTCTCGTTATCAATACGAATCGAATGTTTTTAAAAAATTTTAAATCGGAAATCGGTATCAGTAAAGTGAAATTTTTTTCAAATGTTTATATCCCTGAACAGTGAAAACGATACTTTAAATTTCATGTTGTGCCAAAACAGTTAATATGTGCGAATATACCTTAACAAGGAAACACTAACTGCTGTATAAAAATCAATTAAAATGTTAAAAAAATCATATTTATTTTCTTACTTTTATGTGGAATCTTACTGTTTTAATCAGCTCAGAAAGGTATGAATAGTTTCAATCACATGTAAGTCATAATAAATAAAAATTTATTATCTTCATTATTGATGTTATGTTATTAATGATAACGTTTCACTAAATATCGTATTGGTTATTGATATTTTAAACCTGTTGTTTTCATTCATTTTTTAATCAATTTATATAAACCATTTTATATTTTATTTTGAGTATATTTAAAGACAAAATTTTTAAACAAAATCGCTTGAAATTTTAAATAAACTTCTTCTTGTATCTCCATAATGATGCCATTTAATATATAAACTATGTATATGATTTTAAATCTCAAAATATCAAATAAACTTCTTAACGTTTATTTTTATCAAAGCATGTCTATATCAAAAAAGTGTTTCCATAATAATTTCATTCCATATATAAATTATCTTTTTTGAAACAGGTCAAAAATTCAAATAAACTTCTTCCTCTTTATTTTCATTTTGTTATGTACCATTACATGTTTTTACCAAAATTTGGGTAAAAACATTTAAATGTGTCTCTACGATGATGCCATTTAAAATATAGATTCTATATACATTTTTCAAATTATATATTCATATGAAAAAATTTATCGAGATTATTGAATAATATTCTAATAATCGAATTCAGTATAGAGAGTTAAACATTTATCTCAACAATCTCTGTTTATATTTCTTTGATATAGAATAATGTAATTTTATATACATGGAATTTATAAACATATCCATATGCATTATTTTACATCATTATTAAACAATAGTTGTTAACATATATATACTATAATATTTACAAACAAATTATATGGGGATTGAATTCAATGAAAACAGAGTTGAACATTGATCTTTATTATCATTGTTTTTATTTCGGACATATTACAGTGCATTAGTACTCATAAAATTGATTAAAAAAATATTTAAATTAATAAAATATTAAGCTTAAAACGTATCCTAAAAATATAATTATTATCTTTTTTAGTTAGACAAAAAGTGTTTAGAATTTTAGAGGGTCGACAGGGTCCTAGGTTAAATTATTCTTGATATAAATATAATAGAATATTTTATAAATTTGACTATCTGTAAATTTTTTAATTTTATTATCTTATTTTTTGAATATCGTACAAGGTGATTAGAACCAAATACAATTTATTATATTCAAAAAAGAAAAAATAATAATAAAATAATTATTATCATGGGCTTTAAATAAATAAATAAATTTAAAGCATGATAATAACAAATAATAAGAGTCTGGGTCTTATAACAACTTAGTCATGTAAAATATATGAAGCTCTTTGTAAAGTCATACATATTTTTTCCAATTGGATTAGATTAATTTATTGTATCATTATTATATCCAACAATACGTTAAAGGGGATTTAGATATCTTTTTTATATTATCTGTTATGGATTAAAAACCAGCGAAGATAAAAAAGAATTGATACAATTGCGAAATATTGCAATATGCCCATCTTATAAAATATTTATTATATTCTCACAAAACATAAAATTTACCTTTCATATCGTTAAATAAATATTCAATTGACCTATGATAAAGCTACAAGTTGAAGCATTGTTAATTAAAGATTATTATCTATTATATAAAATACACTTTTGTAAGAATCTTACATAGCAGAAAAAATCACTTTTACTGTACTGATAACATTCAGATAAGAGTAGTATTGATCGAACAGTAGTGAATTCAATATGTAAGTAATTTCTCTAAAATCATAATTGATTGAAACTGAATTAGTTTGGGGAAAGGTTAATAAACTGTGTGTTTCATTTTATCGAAATTTAGAGCTTTATCACTTCTTTAAATTAATTAAGACTTACGTTAATGATGCATAAATTTATTACATAAATATATTTTATTATATATTCATTTGTATATATATATACACCTATATATTTATATGTACATTTTTTTTATTTAGTAGTCATAAATTTCTCTTATTGGTTAATCAATTGGAATATTCATGAGCATTGATGAGCATATAGGTATAGATTTCAAGAAATTATTCAATCTCTTTTTTAAACTTCCAGGGTTTGCAAACATTTTCAATATTTATTGTATAAGATAAATTCTCTATAGATTTTCTGGATTTATGTATTTATTCATGCAATTGAATTTAATAATTATTTTTGTATTTTAGGATTTCACAAACGAATTCAAGCACAGCACCCATGAAGGGCACTGGCCATATTCTGAAACGGCTGAGATGTTTAATGCAAGATGTAAAATACGTTAAAGAACCAATTCATGCTTATATTGTGCCAACGAATGATGCTCATCAGGTACTTAATTTAATAATAAATAGTATTAAGAACTTGTAATGCTATTAAAAAGCAAAAAAGGTCATAAAAATTTGTTATAAAAGTAGAAATTATTTACAATAACTGGAAATATTGTTTTTGACTAAATTAGTATAATGAGTGTAAATATATGCAAATGATTGTAAATCTACTATAATGAGTATAAGTTTAATAAAATGATAATGAACTATAATGAGTGTAAAACTGCTATTAGAATGTGAATCCACTACCATTATAGTAAATCCCATGTTCGAATGAAAATTCTCGACAATGAGTGTAAATCTAATTTAATGAGTATAAATTTAATTGAATGATATTGATATAATAATAAATGAGTAATCTGCTATAATAATGAGTAATAATAAAATCTGCTATAATGAATGTGAATCCACTACCATGTATGTAAATACCATATATGAATGAAAATTCTCTACAATGAGTGTAAATCTACTTCAATGAGTATAAATTTATTAGAATGATAGTAAACTATAATGAGTATACATCTGCTACAATGAATGTAAATCTACTACTATGGTAGTAAATCTCATGCATGAATGAAAATTCTCTGCAATGAGTGTAAATCTACTTCAATGAGTATACATTTAAGAGAATGATTGTAAGCTCTATTGTAGTGTAAATCTGTGTAAATAAATTTAATGAATGATTGTAAACTATAATGAGTGTAAATCTGCTATAATGAATGTGAATCCACTACCATGATAGTAAATTCTATGTATGAATGAATTTTCTCTGCAATGAGTGTTAATCTACTACTATGATAGTAAGTCCTATTTATGAATGAACAATCTCTACAATGAGGGTAAATCTACTTCAATGAGTACAAATTTTAGGAGAATGATTGTAAACTATATTAGTGTAAATCTACTACAATGAATGTTAATAACCATCATAGTAAGTCCCATGAATGAATGAAAATTCTCTACAATGAGTGTAATCTACCTCAATGAGTATAAATTTAATAGAATGATAGTAAACTATAATGAGTGTAAATCTCCTATAATGAATGTGGAATCCACTACCATGATAGTAAATCCCATGTATGAATAAAAATTCTCTACAATTAGTATAAATCTACTAAAATGAGTATAAATTTAAGAGAATGAGTGTAAATCTACTATAATGAGTGCGAATCCACTACCATGATAGTAAATCCCATAGATGAATGAAAATCATCTACAATGAGTGTAAATCTACTTCAATGAGTATAAATTTAATAGAATGATTGTAAACTATGATGAGTGTGAATCTGCTATATAAAAAATGTAAATCTACCACCATGATAGAAAATCCTATGAATGAATGAAAACTCAGAATGATAGTAAACTATAATGAGTGATAATGTGCTAGAATGAATGTGAATCCACTATCATGATAGTAAGCCCCGTGAATGAATGAAAATTCTGTAAACTGAGTATAAATCTACTACAATGAGTATCAATTTAAGAGAATGATAGTAAAC